GCTTGCTTTTGACGTTTTTAACACAAATAACATATCTTCTCTTAGTCTCTGCTTCTAGAGTTTCTAATCTGCATAATGTGGGATCTTTTTATTCTTAATACAAATATTAAGGGGTCTCTGTTCTGCTTATGAAGGTTTTAACATAAATAATGAGGCTTTTGGAGTTTCTAACACTAATAATGTGGGGTCTCTTTATATGCTTCTGGAGTTTTTAACACAAAAACGAGGGGTTCTATCCAATTTTAAAAAAAGATGACCTTAATTTAGCTTCAGGCTAGAAGGTTGTATTTTCTCTCATTTAGTTGATGTAAAATGAAAATATTAGATTTACAAATATTTTTAGAAATATAACTTGTAAAATTAATTGTATAAAATATATATTTTGATGTTTAAGCATTTGATATATTACTAGTTTTCAGCACATGCATTGCACATATATGCATAATAATACAATACACATTTTATAACTAATATCAATATTATTAAATAAAGTACTTTTGAGTAAATAATTTTACATATATGAAAAATAAAGTATAAGTTTTAGATAATGACCAATGTGGATTATTGTACGGTTATTTTTTTTGTTGAGGTGAAAATGATTTAATTCCTCTAAAACTACAATGATGAGTGAGTTGCACTTTAAAGATAGTACAATAAAATCCCCTAAATGCTAAAAGTGGATAGTTTGGATTTTTAGGAGTGGTGATGGAGTTTTAGTGTTTTCGAAAAGTAACTCAATGTATTGTTTGGTTAAACAACTATCTTATTTATTACTTTATATAATATTATGCATCGTTACAAATAGAAGTGGTCACATTAATACTCGCACTAGATTATTCTAGCTTAAAGAATTACAAAATCAAATTACATAACAACTTTTTAAGACAAATAAAAGTAATTCTTTCTATGTTTACTTTTGAAAATTTTAACACAAATAACGTGGTCTCTTTGCCTGCTTTCAGAGTTTTTAGCTCAAATAATGTGATTTTTTTTCTGCTTTCGAAGTGTTTAATACAAATAACATTGCTCTTTACTTGCTTTCAGAGCTTTTAACACAAATAATGTGGATTCTCTTTGTGTGCTTTCAAAATTTCTAACACTAATTACACAGGGTTGGATCTCTTTGTCTGCTTCTGAAATTTTTAACACAAACAATAATGGGTCTCTCTCTGCTCCTGATATTTTTAACACAAATAATGTGGTTATTTGCTTGCTTTTAGAGTTTTTAATAAAAATAATACGTGTTTTTTTTGTTTGCTTTCAAACTTTTAACAATGCAAACGCGGAATCTTTTTGTCTGCTTCTGAAATTTTTAACAAAAAAATTGTTGGGTTTGTCCAATTCGTAAAATGATGATCTTAATTTAAATTCTGAAATAAAACTTTTGTTTTTGAATAATAAATATCAAATCCGAAAATAGCTACCTAAATATTTCATCAAAGTAAAAAATCAAATGTGCGTGATTTTTTAAGTTTTTTACTTTTAGAAAATGAAATAAGCAACCACACTTGTTTTGCTCCTCTTTTTTAGTTTTTTTTTTATTTAAATAAACGAATTAAAAATCCTCTCTCTCTCTCTTTTTTGTTGTGGTTGGCTAGAGTGGGTGATAACTTTTTAATAAAAAAATTTAACAATGAGATCTTTAAATAAGGACTCATCTTTTATTAAACATGAAATTTTCACAAATAGCCATTATAATAAACTTAATTATGCTTCATAGCTATAGTTTGCATATTTACGAATTGTAGCTACAGTTTAAGCTACCTCGTTTGTATAATTCACAAGTTTATTTGTATAATTCAGTTATTTTTGTATAAACTTGAAATAACGAATTTATACAATTACAAACATCTGAAGTGTAAATAGTTATACAAATTACATTATACAAAAGTTATACAAATTATATTATACAAATGTGCGAATTATACAAATGTGTGAATTATACAAAACTAAAAAGTTGAGCCGCGTAATTATAGCTAAAAGTAGGTCACAAATTGTAATTAAGACAAACTATAGCTATGTTAAGTAATTAACTAGTATATGTTTGCTTATAAGCGTAATTTTTCCTTAAACATACGTATGCAAGGAACGTGCAAAAAGCTAGTAATATATAAAACGGAAAATTACGCTTATAAGCAAACATATACTAGTTAATTACTTAACATAGATATAGTTTGCCTTAATTATAATCGTGACCTACTTTTAGCTATAATTACACGGCTCAACTTTTTAGTTTTGTATAATTTGCACGTTTATATAATTCAGAATATGTATAATATAATTTGTATAAATTTTGTATAATTCAAAATTTGTATAATATAATTTGTATAATTGTTACACTTCTGATGTTTGTAATTGTATAAATTCGTTATTTTGAGTTTATACAAAAATAATTGAATTATACAAATGTACCCCGCGAATTATACAAACCTGTGAATTATATATATCCGTGAATTATACAAACGAGGTAACTTAAATTGTAGCTGCAACCCATAAATATGTAAACTATAGCTATGAAACATAATTAAGTTTATTATAGTGACTATTTGCGAAAGTTCCTCTATATTTAATTATGTAATACACATTTTATCATTAATATCAATATTATCAAACGTAGTACTTTTGAGTAAATAATTTTACATACATGAAGAAGTAAAGTTAAGTATGTGAATGATCAATGTGGATTTCCATATGGTTACTTGTTTGTTGAGGTCAAAACTCAAAAAGATTGAATTTCGTCTGAACCTACGAGGATGAAAAAGTTACATTTAGACCCTTGATAAAACAAAGAGTACACAAAAATTCTTGAATTGTCAAAAGCAGATAGTTTGGGGTTTCGGGAGTGGTGGTGGGGTTCTAGTGTTTTTAGAAAGTAACTCAAAAGTTTTTTTTTGGTTAATCACTACTCTTATTTCTTTAAATAACTTATCATGCATCGTTACAAATAGAGGTGGCCACATAAATACTAGCACGGGATTGTACTAGGTTAAAAATTACAAAATCAAATTACATAACGGGTTTTTAACACTAGTAAAAGTAATTTTTTCTTTGTCTGGTTTTAAAATATATAGCACAAATAATGTGAAGTTTCATTGTCTACTTCCGGAGCCTTTAGCACAAATTATGTGGGTTTTCTGTCTGCTTCCAAAGTTTTTAACACAAATAACATGGCTCGGGTTCTCTTTTTCAGCTCCTGGAGTTTCTAACATGTCCCGACCACAAGGGCCTACTGTACGAAGCCTTACCTTGCATTTCTAAGTGCTACTATTGAATTATAAAGAAAATGCCAAAGATCTACCTACCCTTTACTGCACCTCAGAACATTGATGAGAAAATGTCAAAATGTTACTCCGAAGATAATTCAATAGTAGCACCTAAAAATGCAAGGTAAGACTGCGTACAATAGGCCCTTGTGGTCAGGCCCTTCCTCAGACGCTGCACATAGCGAGAGCTTTAGTGCACCGGGTTGCCCCTTGTTGTAAGATGACAGATGATCAATCTAGTCTAATAGTATCCTTTTATCCTGATCACTTAATCAAAAGCTAGTGCAATATCTATAAGCTCTGCATAACAATTAAGCATACTACCAGCCTTTCAAGTAACTACACAACATAGCTAATGGCAGAACAGCAGCAAGCATCAGTTACTGCCTGACAAAATAACTTTATTGAAATAACCAAATAAACTTTTCCACTTAACAGAAGGTATTCATTCCAGGGCCATCTGATGCTACAGGCAGTAAACTGTTTCCAAAGTATTAGAGGCAGAAAAATATTAGACCATAATTCTCATAAACGCGTTAATTGTTTAAACATACGGTTGGTTATTGGATGTTCAAAAGGACTGTTTTTCTCTCTTCTTTACTGCCAATCAGCCTCTCAAGTAACTCCGGGAGAAGGATACACCTCTTCCCGTTTCTCATTGTTGCAAAGCACCTCTGACTATATGGTGTACTTTCTTGACAAATCAAATGACATTATTCTGGGTTCAAGATACAAAGTTATTTTGGACGTTAAAGAAATCATGTCAGAAATGTCAACTACCAAAAGCTGAAAACAAGTAGGAAGTAGCACAATATAATTAGTATGACGTCTTTAGAGGTTTGAAAGAATACGAGCAACTTGAAAGCAAAGCACATGGGGATTTGAAATCGCTACATGTCCATGTCATCATGGGAACATAATCGCTACATCTATAGGTTTAAGGCTCATAATTTTTCACAACAGAAAAGAAGTTCATGTAAGATCGGAAGCAACAACTAAAGGGTTGATAAGAGAAAACAAAATAGATCTTTATGCAATACAAGTCAAACACAAATGTATATAAATCATGGGACTTGCAATTGGTAAATCATTGTAGACATGGTTATCACTGGCATTATGACATCCATCCATCAAGAAACAGTTTTTCCACTCATTTTGATAGCTAAAACAACATAGTACCTGCCACAGATGTCTTAGGCACAATGTCCACATCATTGTTGCTCTGTAGCATAACATACAAAGACCTAATAACAGAAACAAACATAAACATCTATTACCACTCAAATGGAAAACACACAAACACAACATTAATATGCTATAAGTTGCTAACTTGCAGTAATATTCATAAAACCGTTCATAGACTTACGTCAGTTACTTTACCTGATTTGGTCTGTCATTTTTTTTTTTTTTTGGGGGGCCGGGGGGATATGGATTACAAGGTCAATATAACCTCACCACTCAATTCTATAGTAATGTGGAGGCATCTACATGCACACTACAACAACAACATAGCCAACATAATCCCACAAGTAGAGCCTGGAGAGGGTGGTGCACACGCAGTCTTACCCTACCGGGTGAAATGTAGAACATACTGTTTCAAAAATAAGAAGTCCAATATAAGACTAACTGTGGCCTAAAAATTCCACAAATTCAAGCACACATTATGTCCCTTTGACATTGGTAATGAACTGCACCTACAATTATAATTGTAAAAATTTGAAATTGAACAGTAAGATATCCAAATAAACTCAGATCAAAATTGATGGGAACATCATCACCAGCATTTCAGAGAGATAGACTCAAGTATAAGCCACTAGATAAACCACAAAAACCAGAAAGCAGTAACTATAAAATGAGGCATACATCAGACATGAGACATGAAACTACTGGAATTGATAAAGTTCTTGTTTTGAAGTAAGAAAATTCAAAAATGCCGTCGATCAAAAGTATCTCGGTGCTAAATGAACCATTCTCCTAGTCCTTCTTTTCCACTGCCTCTTTCTTTGGCTTTTTAACCGTTGCCTGTGAGTACAAGAAAGTTCCAAATATGGCAATAGCAGAGCCAAGTGCATTTAGAGGCCTGACTGGATTCCTGAATACCAACACAGTGGCGACAATCACCACCACCCTCTTCATAGTATTACCCACTGAAAACGTCAGGGGACTAATATCATCCAGAGCTTGGTAAGAAGATTGGTTATAGAGATGATAGAAAATCCCAGATATGAGAACCCATAAATAAAATGTGTTAGGATTTCCTATAGTTCCAAGAGCTTTGTGATACCCTGCCACCCATTGAGAACCTTCCACAAACACTGCTACTGGAAATAAGTATATAAATGAGAGTATGGTTATCCATCCATACATGTTCAAGCCATCCACTTCCTTAAAATTCTGTAAGCTCCTTTTCGAAAAAATGTTGCGAAGAACAAACCCAACATTACTGATCATAGCACCCGACAAGCCCCCCAAATTGAAGGAAACTTCAGTGACAGCAGCCAGAGAGCAACCAAACACAATGGGAAGAATTGAAAGCCAAACAGTCAGAGGATACGTATCACCAAGAAATGATGAAAACACCACAGTAAACACAGGTTCTGCAGACTTAATAACATGGGTGAAAGAAACAGCAACCTTTGAAAATGAAACACAAGCTGAAATATGGCCTATTGTGTGAAACAAGGCAGGTCCAAGAAGGGCAATGATAAATGATTTATTGATTTTTGGGCAAGGTTGCAGCTTAAAAGACCACAGAATTAACATCCAAACAGAACCACAAAACAGCTGGAAAGAAGCAAGAAGCCATGGATAAGGAAAGATGTTCAATACCTTCTTGTTAAATATGTTAAACACAATGTTCTGAAAATACCACAGACCAAAAATGAGAGCCAGTTTCATATTCACTTTTGGCTTTGAAACTTCAATCTCCCCATCTGGACTCACTTCTTCTGGGGTTCCAGATGCTGCTTCAAGGATCTGAGTCGTATTTCTTGAAGAAACCCCAGATGGGTGTCTCAAGATTTTGGAAAAATCCAATCTTGGACGAGAGATCTGAGAATCTTGATTTGCAGAACACCTAAAAGGATGTCCATTTTGAATCAAGGGTTTGGTGAATGACAAAGTTCTCAACTTTTGGTTTCTACTACCAAGATTTGGTTGAAAAGGTGAAGGGCTGAGAGGATACTTAGGACGGGATTTGGAGAGAGTGACATTAGTGGATGGAAGAAGATTTAAAGTAAGCATCTTTGAATGAACACACAAGATTCTGAAACACAAAAAAGCAGAAACTTTAAAGATATGGGGACAAGATATTTAAACAAGAAGATACCAATAAATCTCAAAATGTTCACCCGGTGGCAGCCACCTACCCACAACCTCGGGACACTGACTGTGACTGATTGTTGTATTTGAACAAACAGATTCACAGTTTATTCCGTTGAAGTGAAGTAACAATGGGCTCACTCCGTCCCACTATGTTTGCCTTCTGATTTTCCACAAAATTGCACCCAAAAAAGAAACCTAGGTTACACTTTTTATCCCAAACGTATGAACGTGCGATATGAAATTAGATTTAACCCTATGATCGAGCAACTAATAATTATTATAAAAATCGTAAAACATAAAAGGCTTTATAAAGGGTCAATATGTCAATATTTTAGAAACATCTACATTTATTAAAAACTAGTAAAATTACCCGCGCTTCGCACAGGAATTTAATATTTGGATATTTTATAAAATAATACTTAAAATCTACCAGTCATTAAAATTAAAACACTATATTATCTTACATATAAGATTACGTAGCAACAAACATTAATAATGTAAAGGAAAATAAAAATTATAACATCTTATAATTTATCCTTAATAACATAAGTATAAATTAATGACTGTAAAAATACATACCAGAATCTGTAACATAAGTAATGGTGTTAGTAAGCCACTTATCAAGAGCAAAGTACACAAATATTTAATTGTGCGGAAGAAGAAGAAAAACAAGAAGAAGAGGTTCAAAATTTTCATTGTTTTAAAATGAGAGGAAATTCCTATATTCATAAACAACAAAGAGTAGTGTGAACAAATGTTTATTGTGTCTTATCGGAAAAGTTACAACTATTTGGAAAAGTTGCGATCCTTCGGAAAGGTCACAACCTTTCATAAAAGTCACAACTTTTCATAAAAATCACAATTTTTCATAAAAATCGCAACTCTTCATTAAAGTCGCAACTTTTCATTAAAGTCGCAACTTTTTAATGAAAGTCACAATTTTTCATGAAAGGGGAAGGTTAGTTTTGGAAATAAATAAATTAAAAGGGAATCCTTATTTGTGGTGGCACCACGTAGGCGAACCTAAGGTTCCCTTTTATATATATATATATATATATATATATATATATATATATATATATATATGATATGATATGATATGTGATATATATGATATAGGATTAGGTTTATCCCTTTTCATCATTTATGAAACAACTCTAATGCAAGTATTGAAATTCTTTTTGGGAAAATACATAAAAAAAACATGAACTTGTCCGCATAACTTATTTTAGCACTGTAATTTTACGGGTAATTATTTACCCCCTTAAACTCATTTCAAGTGAATTTAATACCTCCTTAATTGATGATATGACAAGGAAAGTGTGATCACTCTCCCAAACTCGCGTGAAAAGGGGAAAAAGTAATTAAAAAGCTGACTAAATTTCAATTTCATTAATTTTTTCATCTTTCTCTCTCTCTACCTTTCATCTTGTTCACAAAGCCACCGTATGCCACCATGAAATCAACCATTTCTCCATTCCTCTTCCTCCATCCCCACTCCACCTCTTCGATTCCACTAGAATAAAAATGAAAAAAAAAAGCATTTTGATTTTCTTGGAAAGGACAAAAGGCTGGTCGGAGGGTGTCTATTGCGTGGTTAAAGAGAGCGGAAGTACTATACCTTAACACTCTGAGGTGGGTGTTCAGTTCATGAGGAAATAAAACTATTCGTACCGATGATGTTTGTGGTGGGTATTGTGGAGTTGATGATAGGTATTTGGTAAAACCATCCATATTCATTTCGATGTGGTGTTTGTGGCGAATCTAATTACCTGCACACGTTTTCATTCTCACTACCATTTCATTCTTCTCTCACTATTCTTCAATTTTTTTTATAAATTTGTTTTTAGACGCTTATTGTGGCCCAATTCTGTTGACATCATTGATGTTTGTGATGGGTATTGATGTATTTTGAAATTGATAGCGATGGCGTGGTATTTTGGAGTTGATTTCAATGGTGGTGGTGTTAAGAAATATGAAATTAACAGTGATGGAGGCGATACAACTGTTGGTGATGAGTATTGTAGAGTTGACGGCGGCTGGTGATATTGTTATCGGTGATGGTATTGTGGAGTTGATGGTTGTTATAATGGTGAAAATGTTGTGAATTTGATGGCGGCGGTAATGGAGGAACAAAGCGAGGAGTAGTTGGTGAATGGTGGTGCACTATGAAATCTACGGTGGTGGAATGTGAGGGACGATGAAGGTTGGGGTGGGTGGTTTTTTTTTTTTTTTTTAAATGTGTAAAAATATTTTTTTTGACACGTGGAGGTGCGTGTAGCACACCTACCTTTATAATTGTGGTTCTAGACTTCTGAGGGGATATTAAATTCACTTGAAATGAGTTAAGGGGATAAATAATTATCTGTAAAGTTACAGTGCTAAAGTAAGTTATGCAGACAAGTTTAGGGTTTTTTTAATGTATTTTCCCATTCTTTTTTAATGACGTTGTCCAACAATAAGGAATAGAGCCCAAATCGAGAGGTGGTAATTAAACACACCACAAAATTTAAGACCGAAAATCACTTAATTATAAGAAACCAGACATTATTTAATAAGATTGTGATCAATCTACTCTTTTATTCATTACTTAACAATAAGTTGTTCCTACATATTGTCCTAATTATATTTATTAGCAAGTCTCTTTGCATCAAGAACATAACATTTGTTCATTCTATTTTTCGTGCCCTTAATTTCTGAACACAAATTTAATGCTATATGAATCACTAATTTAGGTCGTAAATAATTTTGGTGTCCATTTCAGCTTGTTCATATCTTAAATATTACATCAAACTTATTATGCTATTTTTTTATTACATATATTAAATATTTATATCAAATTAATATATCCATATCATTTGTTTGAATATACAGATATTTTACTTCGACTAATTAACATGTATTTTTACTTCATAAAATCATGATAAATTATATTTAGTTTAACATAAATATTTGAGGAACTTAACTTATACCAAAATTTATACTAAAATAGTTAGATAATATAATCTTAAAACTAAATAACACTCATTAGAGCTGTCAATATGGGCTGGCTCACCCCATCCGGACTAGCCCATACAAGCTTTGAAATTTGACGGGTCAGGCCGGGATAACCCATTTTTGGTGTGGGCCAGAAAATGGTTGTCCCAGCCCACAAGTACGTGGGCTATGGGCTTGCCGGGCCAGCTCTCTTTACGTAAAAATATATTTTTATAATTTTTTAAATTAAATTATAATTTAAAAATATTATCATAAATATTGACAAGATAATATTACATGGTGTTAGTGTTACTACTTGTTAATCAAATTCACAAATAAAATTATCATTATAATATTTATTAAGTTTGATTTCAAGTAAAAACATAAATAACTAAATAAAAATATAAACCAAATTGTTTTCCAATGATCATAATAAAACACAAAAAATTATGACAATATTCCATAGGCTACAGCCTATGTAGTGATTCCTAGAAATTTTAGGGAATTTTTATTTTACGTAATATGTATTTATAAACATAATTTGTATTTAAATTGTAATATTTCAATCTTTAAACTGATTTTGAGTTTAGACTCTTGTTATTTTTAATACTCTATTTTATTTTTTATTTTTTAATTAATTTTATTTGGCCCACGGGCCGGCCCTATCCATATTTTTCAAGTCCCACAAATCGACAGGCTTATTCAGGCCGGGCTAAAAAGCCCTTTTCTTAAATGGGCTCCAAAAATTGTAGTCCAGCCCTATCAAATCCTGAGTTAGGCCAGGCCGGCCCAACGAGCCCAGCTCATATTGACGGCTCTAACACTCATTATCAAATACAAAATAAAATAATTCTATAAAAATACCCATAATTATTATCTTTATCCGACCAACCAAACAACTTATCAAGAAGGTTGAGTTTCCCCTTTATATTTACACATCAAATATTATTTTTACTAATATGAAATTTCAACATTTGCAAATAATGAGTGCAAATATTAATGAAATATTTTTTGCTTTCACAAAAGTTTATTTAAGAACACTATTTCTATTTTCTCCTATCCTTTTGCTCTCACAGTGAAACTTCACCAAATTCTAACTCTTCCTCTCTCGTCTTTGAGTTTCGCCAGTAAATTCTGAAGCCCAATTGCGAAGGACACGATCGACTTTGGGAATGGCAGCGAAGCAAATGGAAGAAATACAGAAGAAATTGGCTACATTGAATTACCCAAGAGCCAATGCTCCTGCTCAGTCCCTTCTCTTTGCCGGCATGGAGCGATACGCTCTTCTTGAATGGCTTTTCTTCAAGTATAACCCCATTTAATCCCTTTCCTCATGAGAAACAAGTATTAACTCTAAATGGGTGATCTTTATTTCTCTTAATTTTACTTTTTTGGTTTGAGTTCACAGGTTATTAGGGGATAAGTCACCATTTTCTCAGCAAAATCTACAAGGGGATGCTGTAGATCGCGATGAGGAGACTTCCCGCATTCAGTGTATAGCATTTTTATTTTTCTTTTTTGATCGGTCAGTGTAGAGGCTTTTTTCAATACCCTTAAACCCTTTTTGGATTGAGGTTGGAAATTGGTCAGAATTCTAGTTCTGGTGCATTTATTTGGGAATGCAGTGCAACTTGCTTGATTGTTCTTACTGAAGTTTTGATCTTAGTATGAGTATATTCGTTAGATGACTTCATTAACATCAAGTGGGTTTATGTTTCTAATTATCAGTCAAGAGCTTTGTTTTTTGTTCACTTATGAAAGTGCAGATTAAATCATTCATTAGTATAATCAGGAAGTCCTTGAGAATGTTTGTTTAGGTTAGATCTGGAGAAATTGTAGGAAATTGTTGTATAAATGTTGCTTCTTATGTCTGTTTTGATCAGGTACATTTGTGTATTTTTGGCAGATTTAGCAGAGATTGCAAAGTTTCTAGGCATAACTACTACTGTTGATCCAGAAGCCATCCAAGTGCGTCTTATTGCCTTTTTTCCTTTTAGACGCATATTGTACTTCATTTTATGTTATGTGCCACTGGTAATTGTGGAATCATATTTAGTCCTTTTTCTTGTTAAGATTTGGTCAAGCACCTTTCAATCTTCTGCAGTT